ATACAAAAAGAAAACCGTCTGTCTGTACTTCGTTACGTTATTGCTATGGATCTTAGAATCTTATAAATTCATCATTGAGATCTTATTATATGCAATAATATAATAATATATACAAAATAAAATTATAAAATAATAAATAACTTAAATGACAAAAGGAAGGAAATTATATAAAATAAAGAGTTGAAAATAAATGAATGAATCAGTTTTCGATTAATAATTAATTTGGTAAATAATTTTGCGAAGTAAAAATTTAATATATATTAATGCATAAACATATCCATGCAATATGTAATATATACCCTATAATGCATTACTTAATTAAAATAGAAGGAATAGGAATAATGAAGTGAAATGAAAATAACAATGGGATATCTCGAGAATGATATAATGTTGCTGAAATGGGTGACGATCAAGCTAGGAGTGATGACAACAAAAAACAAATTTCAATCAAATAACTGATACATAAATACCGATATATAAATTGGAAATGAAAATGAGAATGATTCATCAGATGGATACAAAAAATTTTTATACCATTTTATCCTTATAAAGTTTACTTTCATATTAGTATTGATATATTAGTGTATGTATATTAGTATTCTTATTAGTATTGGTATATATATTAGTATATTAATATTGGTATATTAGGAGTTTTAAATATATTCAACTTCTATTCCTTGTGTTAGATTAAAATTGAATTCATATAAATAAAATCCGGTAAACAAGCTAAAAGAAGAAGATGGAAAAAGAAGAAAAGGATGGATGTATTAATCATACGTATCAGAATTATAGGCTAGCAAAAGATATGCCTGATTGCAATTTATCGACTGTTTGCAAGTTTAATAAAACGCAAGATTTTTTTGTTTTGCAATAAAATTCTTTCATACAAATCAATACTAACATATCCTAGCCACTTCCAACACCTAATTTACGATGCCTAATTGGAATTTAAGTTTAATACAGAGAAAACTTCCGCTAATGTAAAGCAATCAAATTTCAGCATTTTATTGTAGTATATAATATAATCCAAACTCTATCAATATCTTATAACCATCAAATAATCGATTGAAGATTGAATAAGAAAGATAATGAATGAAATGATTTCCCTTTCCAGAAATGAGAAATGCTCGAACATCCAAATGTCCATATTCCTTTGCAATCAAAATTAATAATAATTCAAACTCCTGGAACTATAATATTTCCATTAAACTAAAATAAGCGAAAAGAATATTGAAATGGTTGAGATTTTTTAGAAGCGCAATTTATACACAAAATTGCTTTGCATATCAGTGCGGAAAATATCAACAATGTATACTAATCCTTTTAATTTTTATTTGCACTTTAATTATTAACACATACAGTTAGCCGAAGTTACATAGGAATCACTAGAAATTGTCAGTCTGAACAACATCACACCTAGACACAGGAACCATATATAATGGATGAATCAGGAAAAAAGTTAATAAGGTCCTTTTTTAGGAAATGTATCTCATATGATCTCTAAAGCTATTATGATATGACTAGATTGTCATGAACAGGAAAAAAAATTCTCTGATAAATGCAGCATATGACAAAAACAGCAGATATCCCTCTTCATATCTATGTACAGGAAAAAACGGTAAATAACTTAAGATATAAAATATGAAATTTTATCCTTCTCATTATAAATATTTTTGCAATTCTCCTTTACGCAAATAATGGAATGACCTATAAAGCTTTTTAAAGCATGCAGATTTTTAGATTTTATCAACAGAACTGTACATCATATAAAAAGAATAAAAAGAGTAGAAAATTATTAAGTCTAGTGATACGAAAAATCAAGATCACATTTGAAAAAGAAAAAAGGAAAACCAGCAGGTGGAGAATATCAAGATTCACAGCATTCCTTATTTACGAAATGTTACAGTAACGCCTTTCAATGTTTTGGGTGAGTGCATAACAATTCAGTGATAATTAGACAGACTCATGAAACACAATCACTGATCAAATTTCAATGACTTTAAACTAAAAAAATCACATTCAAATTTAACTGCCGAAACGTTCAAAATTAATTACTTCTCTAACATAAGTATCAAATAACTAATCTATTCAGCATTTTAAATAAAACAAAACTTCAAAAATGGAGTCCAGTAGGTAATGCAGGAGACAACACAGCAATTCGATGAAATAACAATCATATGAGTAATGATAATTATTCAAATATTATACAGTTGGTAATCTGGTATTTGTATTTGAAAACTTGAGTAAGAAAAGATTAGGAATTTCATCAAAAAATCTAACAAAATCATCAGACAGAGTGATTAAGACATAGTCGAAATAACTTTAATGTCACCGGAAAAAAACTAGCAAAAACTTTTAAAATTTAGGAACATGTCAGTGAAAGTACTCGCTATTCACAGAATTGCACGTACATACCGGAATTCCCAACACTTACCCTAAGCTTCTATAAAGAAACAGAACTTCAGAAAATTAATCTAAGTCACACAAAAAATTAATGTATATTACAAATTATGAAGAAATAAAGCAATTATCACATCTTTTTACCTCGTCAAAACGATCGCATAATACAGCATTTGTGAGATACAGGGATATCTGGAATGATCTGAATTACCATGATTAGGTAGGTGCCAAATTCTGCGAAAAAAATGGTGCGGAATCCCTGAAATTACAGTTTTTTTTCGAACTTTCTTCATTAAGCTATATACATAACAAATAAATAGAAAAAGTTTCGGGGTCTAATCAATAAATTATGTTCTAAGCAAAGGAAAATAAATGATTTTAAATGTATTTATAAATTGGATTGACAAAAAACAAAAGCAGAATTAATACTTTTATGCTTACATAGCAATCGACAGATATAAATCCACTAGTTCGAGAAATGCACTTTTATTCACCCTCAAAAAACTAAGAAAATGCGGCAGATTAAACATCATTTACTTCTGCAATATTATAAATAATCCAAAAATTCACAAACTTGAAATTTGGAGTAAAAAAGCAATTACCTGCTTAGAAGGGTATGACACACTTGACAAACTTTTGCTGGCCTTCGATGTGGCCCACTAGGTATTGTTGCTGATAAGCAGACTGAACAGAAAATCTTGCCACAATGATGGCAGTGGAGCTTACTACGGCTTTTAGAAAAATTTGAATGACACTGATTGCATGCATGCACATCTTCATCGAACTGCCACCGTACTTCCTTCAACACTACTAATTTTCCCGCATGAATGCCTTATTGATGAACGTTAGCTAATTTGTAATGACTATACTAAGCGGTCAATTTTCACTTTTATTTCATAAGACTGATTTATATTTTATTACAATACACTTTTGATTCATAAACATTATTTCAGAAAAGAAAGGAAAATAAAGTCAATAAACAAAATACCTGCTCAGCTTGCCGAATTTTTTCAAGTTCAATTTGCAAATTTTGTGAAAGTTTGACAAAATCCTTTTGCACGGTTTCCGATGTATCCAATTCTTGTTGCAAAGCAGCGCATCTAAGGTAAGTTGTTGATGAGAGAAGCAACAAGAAATTAAACATGACCAATAAAAATTATTACGAAGTCCTTAAAACACACTTTTGCTTATATAAAGCGACAGTCATTTCTAGGTCGGCACGTTCCTTCTGCACTGATTGCAGCTGCTTTTCTAAATCTTCGATTGCTTTCCTGTATTCAGCCATCCTTTTGTTCATTTCTTCTACCTTTGAAGATGCATCTTTCATCGAATCTAACTATAATATATAAAATATAAATCAAGCATGTGAATAGATCGCGGATGGATAATAGAGAATAAAAATTATTAAGTGTTTCCGAACCATTACAGCCCGTACCTTTAAAGTAAATAAAAATACCTGACTCCGCGCAAAGCCAAGTTCTTGACTAACTCCATTTACTCGTTCAGTATAAGCATCTTCAATCCTTCTCTTTTCCATTTCATCTTCTTTCCTTTGCGCTTCTAGTGTCGCTATCTCATCTCTTAGCACCACTTCCTGAAATATGATATTAACAAACAAATTTTTTAAATTAAAGATGTATTAAATCCTGAGCATGAAAAAAAAGCGCAAAGAAAGATGCAAACAATAAATTTTTACTTAAGTTCTTTTCAGCGGAATAAAATTTTTCATTTTAGCAACTTAAATGTCCTAAAACCCTCGTTAAGACTCTCGTTAGCCTGCGCATTACCAACAATTCAACTGCTTATACCGATTAAAATATGTACCTTTCCAATTTTCATCCGCTCAGAGTATACATAAATAATTTTTAGTTATCCAGGTATAATAATACTTGGCATGACCAATTCGCCGAAAGATTTTACATTCAAAGCTTTCAGTATAATCTATCAGCTAACCAATATATCGGTGGCTAGAGCTCTTATAATTTTCTCTAATTCAGTATTTACAAGAAAGAATTAGAAATATACAGCATGTTCTTTGGCTGCACGGGTCTCAATTAGTTCTTCTCTTAGTTGGAGGCACAAAAATTGTAACTGATCAACATCCTGAGGCAGTTCAATCGTTTGATCTCGCATTTCTGTGGAGCATTTACGATTGGCGCCAAGCAATTTCTGAAAACATATCAACTAAAATGGTTTAGAGCTAGTTGAAACTAGTTGAAATAAATACAATATAAAACAGAAGTACGAAAGAACTACAAAATGTGCATGCAAAAACATACCAAATATCGATTGCTCAAATTATGCATATCTTTATTCATCATGTTTAAAAGTTCCTTCAAGCGACCAATATTGTTTCGCTGTTCTTGTATCAACTTTATACACCTAAAAGTAACTTAACCATAACGATCATCAAAATTTAAAGCAAAAATTTTCTTGCATTATCATAGCGTTGACAAATTCGTTAACCATTTAAGAAAAAATCAAACCTTTCATCAACAGCAAGCAACTGTTTAGCACACTCTTCGTTTTCACTTTTCGCGATATTCACTTCTTTTTCATTGTCTGCACATAATGTGGTTGTTTTCGCTTCCATTTCTCTCCTGAAATCATTTTTGCATGAAATTACTCGAACAAATTAAAAAAAAGCGCTTAATAAGGAACCTGTATAAGCGCTCTCCAGACAGTTCATTCTGGTAACGATTAACCAGATGTTGCGCAGCGGACAACTGTTCCTTCAAGTTTCGTTCAACGTCCTGAAGATTTACAAATATCTAAGAACCAATTAATAAAAACAAAAATGAGCAAAAGATATGAAGAAAAATTACGATGGAGAACAATTTCGGCATTCCCTACTCCATAACTTCAATCTTCTCTCAGGAAATGGGATGAAATAGCAGTAATAAGCAACCAGTTTTGCATAAGAAAAATTAATAGAAAAATCTCACCTGCATTTTCGTCAAATTTAATTCATAATTCTGGCACATTTCACATGATATCGCCGTGACGTCTTCCTCACAAATTGTGTCTGGTATTTTATTTTCTTCATTCACTGTCCCAGAAAAATTACTTTCTTTTTGGATAATCTAAAATGACAAGATCTGCTAACTTGAAAATCTAATGCAAACTTTGTGCGTCTCAAAAAGCAGAAAAAAATCTTACTATTTCAGATGGCTATAGCAATCATATTGGTAACGCTGGTATTGATCACGTGTTGATTTGAAGAGAATTTTAATTAAGAATAAAAAATTTGAATAATACACAGTTACTGAACCTACCCAATCAAACGAAGGATTTGCAAAAAAAATATGGACACAAATAAATAAACTAACCAAGAATACGAATATTATCAAGGAGCATAGATTAAGTTAGAAGAAGGTAATTGATTTCTTGCAGAATAGAATAAAAGTGATTATAAAGAGTAAATTAGGAAATTAGTCTGAACCAAAAATTGGTAATGGCATATAAAACATACAAAAAAAAAATAATAGGACATCTCTGCAAAGTTGAAACTGAAGCTATTTTTCTTTTCTATCTCTCTTGAATATTCATTTTAATGGATGAGATGGATATGTGAAATTTTGCAAGAAAATCAGTTTCACTCACTTCATGTTCCAGCGAATTTTGTTGTTGAATTGCAGTATTTATTGGATCGTTTGTTTGGTTTTGAATAAAAACAGAAGAATCATTCGTATTCACTTTTGATACCAAATCCTCATTCATAATATTAACCCATTTTCTGGGGTTTTCGATAGCAGATTCTAGAATAGATGAAGCTGTAGCATCACCTTTGCCATCACCTCTGTTCGACAACTGATTCGTTAGTACTTCACCACCAGTTATAACATCCAAATTTTCCATGCTCATTCCTTTTTCTCTTTTTCTTTTTCCGTTACCGATGAATTTTGATTTTGTTCACATCCAATTGACAGTCGATTGATCATTCGATCAACTGTACATCCGCACATGCATATCTGCAACAGAAAACATTCAAGTAAAATTATAGTATCCTAAGTCGTGTCCAAACAATCTCTTAAAAAAGAAAACATCAATACTATATTTTTGGTTTTAAAAAAAACTGAACAGAAGTATGGGAAACTTTCGAAAGTTATATAATGCTAGAAAAAGATTGAAAAGAAAAGAATAAAACCAACAAAGCTCCTAATGGGAAGCGAATCATAGTTAAAGAATACAAAAAAATACAGCAACAAAAAAGGAAACGAAGTATAATCAACAATCGAAAACAAAGTTATAAAGCACATACCTGAATTGCATCATTCTGATTCATAATTATATTCATTCTATCATTTTGACTGGTTAGCGGTGAAAACGTTTTTCCCAACGCCAATCTTCAATAACTAAAATATTGCAATAACCTTGTTGTTTCTTATTTTCTTTTCCTCTTGTTGTTAAATTATTTTTTCTTACCTTGCTTTATGTTGCAGCATTTCTCATTTATCTTCCTACCTATCATTTACTTTCCTTTCGTTTTTTTACCTATAATAAAACTAAACTTGCATTTTTTTTTACCCTTAAAATAAACTTGCTAACATTTATTAACTCACTCTACCTTAGTTTAATAGTTCCATAGTTTAATAGCTATTTTTGCTTCCTTCATATGATTTACCTTAATAAATGAATTATAAATGAAATTTCAGTTCCGGTTCAAAATTAGCCCATCTGGATTGAAAATTCATCTCTACTGACACATCATTTAACAATGCTGTTCATTTTTTTTATTGGCAATAATCACTTTATGTCTATTCCAATAAATTTATTATAATTATCTCTGTAGTATTTGCATATTTAGAATATAAATTTATTTCATTAGGAATTGTAAACTTATTTTATGTTCAAATATTTTCGCTAAGATAGTTCGAAACTGAGATAAATATCTCAAGAAAGATGATATGTAGCGGAAAATTACTATACTGTGAAGACTTTTTAGGTTTAATTAATAGATGATTGGAAATTCGGACGTAAAACAATTCAGTTATAATTAAATTACCTGTAATTTGTTAACAAAAAAAAAACGATGAAATTTTGTAGGAAACAAATTTTTCCCTAACATTCATTTATGATAATTTTTTATTTACTAAAATTTTTCTATTTTTCTTATGATTAATTTTATGATAATTGTATTGTTATATTTATTTACCTGTACTTTTTCTTCTCTTTACTTGTTGTTTTTTGTTTTATTGTTGTTGAAGAAATATGATAATTAATGAATTTATACAGAAGTGAGATAATATGGAATGTAACAAAATGTTAATTGAAATTAAAATGATATCACTTAATGTCACCTGATAGAATAACCTGAGGTGAAACATTTTAAAAGAAAAATTCTTGGTAGATATAATAATATTTAACAACCTGACAACTTAACTAATATAACACCTGAGATAGAGCTAAAATAGAGCACCTTAGATGAAGAGTTAAAAAGAAAAATCCTTCAAAGATATAATAATAATAATAATAATATCTAGCAACCTGAAATTTAACTAATATAGTACCTGAGATAGAGCCAAAATAGAATGAATACCAGAGGTGAAGAGTTCAAAAGAAAAATCATTCGGATATAGCTAATATAATACCTGGGATAGAGCTATAATAAAAAATGGAATCATTAATAGCTACTACAATAATATCTAATACATTAAGAAATTTCATTATTAAATTACAGGAAAAAGGAATGTTGATAAAAATGAAGTATTCCAGCTTATCATATCACTCGCAACAATCATTAATAAAATAATTTGACTAGGTGATAAAAATAAAAATTTAAAGACAAAAGAGCAATAGCAATAGCATCACAGCATTTCAATAAAAATAAGAAACTTCATTTGAATTAATGAAACTATTATTCTATTCATATACAGGACAACTATCTGGAAGAAACTATTTTACGAGTATACACTAAAACGAAATCTCTGTAAATTATTTCTTAAAATGTGTAAAACATAAAATATCGGAAAAATGGGAAACAGGTAAATCGGAAAACAGGTAAATTGGATTATTTTACACATTATGTTGTGTAAAATAATTAATTTAAATAATTAATATAATTTGTACAATTAGGAAATGGTAGAAAAATCAATAAAATTAAATTTGCATATTTCTTTAAATCGAAATTTATTGTTTCTTTTTAATTATAATTATCAAAAATTTTTTGAAAAATCCATTTTATTTTTTTCTCCTGAAATATTCCGTAATTCATTTTATTCTTCATATTGTTTTTACTAATTGTTTATTGTTGTTGTTATTGTTCATTTCAGAAGTTGACGTTTATCCATTCATTGTTGATAAACATCTTCTATAATTGGGTATTTTCTGTAACATCCGATGATGATAATTCATTTCGTACTTCACGTTCTTCAATTTGATCTTGTTGTTGTTGATTTTGAATTCGGCGTCTTGCTTCACTATTAGTGAACGTAAAAATTAAGCATACGTAAGTATCAAATGTTCGAGCATGATCATATGCTCTTCGTTCAGCGGCTACAAGTGAAGCATGAAGATCATTGATCGGTATAGACTGAACCCATGAGCATCCACCCGAAATAAGAATTAAACGGATCCGTTGAAGGATGTATAAACGTCGTTCACGTGTTAATTCTTGACGCCACGGAAACATTTAAAGATGAAATCTTTAAAATACAAATCTTCTGAAATGTTACAAATAAATTACAATTATTATTATTATTATTATACAACTATAATTAATAAAGAAAATGCATTAATTATAAAATTATATTACACCAATTATTTTGTTTGAAAAATTAGGCATAATTACAAAATTGTTAATTTGAAATGTTTGAAAGAAAACAAAGCTATGCAAATTATTCATTTATAAATCATAAGAACCTAATATGGTTAGCAATTACGATAATAAAACTGATGACGGTAATAATTATGATAGTGAAACTGATGGAAATAATAAATATGATAATAAAATTGATGATAATAATTATTGTGATGATAAAAATGATAGCAAGATTTCTTTTGCACGAAAATCATTGGCTTTTCTTTATTATCATTATCTTGATTTATTGCTAATTACTGTATCATTCAAATTTTATGAATTACAAAATAAATACTGTATTTTTTTTCAATGTACGCAAATTAATAAACATATTTTCCTTAATGAGTTCGATATAAATTTATACTAAAAATATATGTTTACATATACTTATTAAATGCTAATATATATATTTATTAATTTATACTTAATGTTATTATTTATATATATATATATATATAATTAAAAAAATCATTCTACATAAATATATCATTTTTAATCTCTGAGAAATAAGCTGAATGATAATAACTGATATGAATGATGATAATAAAATAATCAGATATTGATAGTGCTCATTACCTATCGATATTTAGATATATAATTTAAAAAAAAAGGATCATTCTACATAAATATATCATTTTGAATCTCTGAGAAATTAGCAACAGTCAACTGATATGAATAGTGATGATAAAATTATCAGATATTGATAGTGTTCAGTACCTATTGATAACATTACTAAAAGTATTTTAGCTAGTAATAGCAACATTGACAATTATCTATTTCTTTTAATCTTCATAAGTCGTAATTGAAAATAGTTAGATAAAAGTTAAAAACAAAAGAATAGAATTAAGAGTGTAGAAATGCGCAAAAAAAAGGCTCATATCCGATCGGCATAAGAACAAAAAACTTGAATAATGTTTAATACTTATATGGTCAGTATATGCGGAAGGTCATCGTTGCTGAAAGTGACCATTTCTTTACTTCTCTGGTATGATGATGTTTTTGTTTTTTCTCCTTGTCTGTTGCTCGACAAGCTTGACCTTTTTGCCCCATCTATTCTTGCCAAATTATTAGACCTGTATGTGGAATATTCTGTCTTCTTTGATTACAACAACTATCACTACTACCACCACTATTACCTCTAACCTCTGAGATGAGCGAGAGCGAAAATATATAAATCGATGAGTGTTGTTCGGGTTGGGTTAATAATGCTTGTAGCCTATAGGCCTTTGGTCCACAACTATCATCTCCTTCATTCTGTTCATTCTTACAAATTGTTGACCAAATGACCATAAAACTCAATTGACTGACTCGATCTCAGACCCTGAAATCTATCGCTAAACTTAACTCCTATTGATACAACCTTCTCATCCGATTGTTATTACCGCTTCCCTTTTGCCTTTATCATTTCATCAGTGATATCGTTCTATGAATTAATATCAAAACAGCATAAACAATTCAACAAAAGTACTAATGAAAATAAATTAATTAAATAATTTTATCAGAATGAAGGAAATTGAACGAAATTGTATATTTGAAAAAACTTCCTTAAAAAGCATTGCAGAAAATCTTGAAAAAGAAAAATCTTTTATTTTGAAAATATTTAAATTGTAATACTTAGTTAGTACCAGCATATTTTTTAAGTAACATTTCTAATTTTTTAAATTGATATTTTCAAAGTTGCGAATTGATTAATTTAACAATTAGTGGGAAGAATGAGAAAATGGTAATTTCAATGATAAAAGTTTTGATAATAGAATTTATTCATTTTAAATAGTTTATTTTATTTTATGTTGCTGATAAAGTCATGCAGTAAAAATTTGTTAATAGAAGCATAGTTTACATAGTTTACATAATATAAATAAATCATAAATCAAAATATATGAAAGAAACGAATTTAAAAAAACTATGCATAAAAAATGATGTAAAAAACGTGAGAACGTAAGAAATCACGTGTGAAAGATGTTAGAATATTGATGATAATGTAATATAATGCACGATATCATTAGCACATAAAAAAACAGCAATACAACATAATCTTACGCTTTTTAACGTTAAAACACACTTATATGGCCTCACGTACTAGAAGACACGAGGGAATGAAAACGTGAGACCATATAATTGATAATTGATAGTGTTGCAAAATTTTCCACAACTGACAAAATCTTACGTTTTCTTAACGTTAAAACGCATTTATATGACCTCACGTACAAGAAGGCATGAGGAAATTAAAACATGAGGTCATATAAATTGATAGTGCTGCAAACTTTCCCATAAACAACAACAATTTTCATGCACCCAAGAAATACTTGTCAAATATTAATTATAAAACTTCGAAATTTGTTGAAATTACAACGAATTAATCGATTTCAATTTTTAATTTATAATAATTAATTTTGCAACTTTATAAAAATGGATTATGTAAAAGAGGATTGACATAATTTTAGGATAAAAAATATCCCAGCAAAAAACATTTCAAAATCTTTCAATTAATTAACAATTTATCAACTTTTGTTTCTAATTAAAACTATTAATTTCAAATTTTTATGAAAATAAATTTTTAGGAAAAGCTTAACAAAAAACTGTGAGAAAAAGAAATATATCAAAAAAAATTTCTTAAAATCTGTCAATTAGTAAAATTTGCCAAATTATTTGTTTTTGTTTTATTACGTATAATTAATTTCAAAATTCGTTTGAAGTAATTATGTTCGTAAAGAAAAGATTTGAATACTAATAAAAAAAAATAAAGCGCAATCCTTTAAACAGTAAACATGAAAAAAGCAAAATGTAAGTTAAAAATTTCATAAATATTCCCGAGATTTTTAAAACTCTCTAATGACCTTTTACCTTTATTGACCCCCAAGCGGTAATGTATTATAAATGAAGTAATTATACTAATAAAATTTCGCTTACTTTATATTTATTGATATTATTAGGTTGATAAACTTTTAAAATATAATGTTTCATTTCTTTAATTTCAATTTCCAATTTCTTTTCATACGTACTACACCAATATTATTATTTCTGTATATCATTAACTAGAAATGAATATAAAAAATTGAAACATTTCAATTTTTTAATTTCAATTTCCAATATCTTTTTATATGTTCTATACCAATATTATTATTTCTGTATATTATTAATTAGAAATGAATATAAAAAATTAATGTTAGATGCTTTAAAATTACTATTATCAATACTTTTTTTTTTTTTTAATTGCTCTTTTTGTTTTCATAATTTTATGAATTGAATTAATTTCATAATTTTACAATTAATTACAGCATTAATTATTTTTGTTTTTTGCATCAGTAAGATTTCATTCGGATCAGATTTATTTTGAACGTTAAGTTTGAATTGAATTTTCTTTGTCATTTTCATTTTTTTTTTCCCATTATAATATTTTTCGTATTGTTTCGTTAATGCATGAGTAATTAGCATAGTATTTTCAATTAATAAATGATTTCGTATACAATACGATTTGTTTAGGGAAAACTCAGGTATGATTCATGGTTTTTTTTTTTTCGCTTTGAAATTTAATTAATTTATGCCTAAATTATTAATGAATTACTAATTACTAAATTTTTTTCTGCTTGTCAAAAATAATTTAGTTATTGTTACAACGTTGAATTTCAATTTTAATTTCTTTCAATTTCTATTACCTGAACAAATCGTATTGTATCCAAAATCATTTCTTCAATTGCAAAGTAAATTTTAGTTGTATTTGATTAGTTTTTATGTTTATCGTAAGTTCCATTCTTTAAGTATAACTTTGTTAATTAATACATTTATCCTAAGTTCCTTCCTTTAAGTATGACTTCATTAATTAACTTCATTAGGATGGCGATAAGGTGAAACGAGCAAAAAGTATTGTTGCATTGTTATTTATAATTTTGTGAATTTCATTTTTCAATTTCTTTCATATTTTGGGTACCGAATTTATTTATATATATTTTTAATTAACAAAATTAACAAACACAATCATTTGATATTTTATTACAGTGAATTTGAGATTTTCAATAGAATTCTTCTTATCTTTTATCATTTGATTTCTTCAACTGATAATATTTGATTTAATAATAAATAATATTTGCATTTACACAAATACACTCATTTTTGTCTTTTGTTTTATTTTTATTCTAAAACAGAATTATTTCAAAAATTAAAAATTAATAATTAATAATTCCAATTAAATGCTGCATCATTTGTTTTTACTTCTTAATTATTATAAATTATTACAAGTTAAAAAAAAAAACGATAATAATTTATTGAATAACAGCGCGTAGTACTAATTAAAGTACTATTATCATTTTGTTGGTTTTAAAATGAAGTTAAAGAAAGAAAAATCGTAAGAGTTAAAATACTTGAACAAACGCAACGTTAAATTATAATACGTCTGTCTACGTGCACGTACGTGTACATTACGTACGTACATGAATGTTAGTTAATTTCTATATGTGGCATTATTGAAAATTCATTTATTACAAAATTCATTCCGTAAAAAATTATAATAAATTTTCAATCAAAAATTGTTAAAAGCATAAACTAAGATTTATAGTAATTTTAAATTATTATTTAATATAAATTAAACAATACTTTTTAGAAAGATATTTGATTACTAAATTTGATGAAGAAAATATATGTAAATAATTTTAATTGTAATAAAAATTATTCTGATAAAATTTCTTCCTAAAATTTCAAATTATTAATTGGCATCAATTAAAGTTATTGAAGAGAATTCAAAATCATTAATTATTTAGGATGAAATAGTAACTTTAAAAATTGTGACAAATAATGAATGCATACATCGTTTGTTATACGATACATTCAATTGGTAC